TGTTGCGATGTTACACACACACATACACATACACACACATCATTATATATATATATATATATATGAATTATATATATATATATTTATGAATTATATATATATATATATGAATTATATATATATTTAGTCACACTCCAATTCCTCCATAGCTTTGAGTCTAGACTAAAAACCCAATTTGACATCAACGTCTTTGAGAACATAAGCATGTATGTGGCATTGTGTGACAAACAAAAGATTATTGATGGGATTTTGCTATATTTCGCTAATGGTGTTTGCAAAAAGTGACATTTAAATTGTGATGCATCTTCAGATGAGTGACCAGACCAAGATCTAGGCTGGGAGCATTTACCATGAACAGTGGAACAAGCTCTTAACCTCTACAAGGAAACAATCAGTGCGTAGGTGTTTAGATATGACCTTTGACCTGTAGAAGAATCATCTATCTGCCTCTGGTCTGATAACTCGGAGCCTGTAGATTATCTCAGAATGCTACTGTAGAGCTGATGGAGCTAGGACAGGAGATCCACACCAGCCGTCTTCATGACAAGGTGGCTCCCTCGTTGGGTCGGGTCGCCTTTGATGGGCCCCCATCCTGGGGATGTCTGACAAGGAGGATGCAGTTGGTCTGTGTTATTATTAGCCGGTCCCTGACTTTAAGGGATCAATGTGACCCGACAGGAGTGTTTCGCATACATTCAAGACTTCAAGTGTAGACTAACAGGAGGAAGGAAAGAGCAGGATGAAGCGGAAATGATATTTTTTTAGGGGTGGGGGGGGTCTTCAGGCTTCCATTAGTCAGATCCAGAAGCGTTGTGTTTATTCACAGAGTGGGAATGGCACAGGAAGCTGCCAACGGGAGCTTCCCCAGAAACAGTTGCTGCGCGATCCCTACGTTTCTATAGGAGGAAATGGGGGGTGTGGGCGTGGGCCACACAATGGCAGTAAGATTGTTAAAGCATTTACTTTAATTACGTAGTATGAACTAAAAAAAAAAATCTATTTTGAGCTGTCAAGTTGTCTAAATTGTTATTTCTGAAGTGGGAATATTTTTCTATCAACCATAGAAATATATACACTACCATACCATTCATAAGTTTGGGGTCATTATGATTTTTAATAAATGTATTCAGATGCATTAAATTAGTGAAAAGTGACAGTAAAGACATTTAAAAATGTTACAAAAAAATTACATTTCACATAAATGATGCTCTTTTGAACATCAGAGAATCCTGAAAAAAGTTCCATGCTTACGCTGCTCAGGTCTATTCAAAATACAATAACACAGTAATAAGTTATGTGATAAATTAATAAAAATAGAATATAATAAATGTTCTATTGAGCACCAAATCAGCATATTAGAATGATTTCTGAAGGATCATGTGACACTGAAAACTGGAGTAATGACTGCTGAAAATTCAGCTTTGCCATCACAGGAATAAGCTGCATTTTAAAATATATATGCATTTTATTATATATAAAATTATTTGCTATTTTGAGATAAAAATATTACTGTTTTTTACTGTATGTTTGATCAAATAAATGCAGCCTTAGCGAACTGGACATTTTTAGTGAGATGCATCCATATGACAATTAACGATTATGAAAAAAATTGTTTATGATATAGTAGTTAATAAATTTTATGATTAATGTGTTTTAGAAATATGGAAAAGGTAGACAGGTGTGGCTTCCTGGTTCCCCTTGGGACAAAATTATAGAGAGGAAGGGAGGGTGATAGAGGGATGACAGAGGAATTGTCGGAATGATTGGGTAAGCAGCTTTTCCATTGACATTCTAATTTACAAACAAGCGCCTCCTGAACTATTGTTAGGAAGTTCACTCTGAAGCACTGCTGGTAGGTATAAAAGGGGCTTGTAATCACACACACATTTGGATTTAAGCCACATAGACCCTGGCATGGAAATATTTTCCTGTCCTTTCCCTTCATCTCACGGGATGCATGTTTTACACATTCCACCTCTGGGAAATCTCTTTCTGTCCCCCAGTCAGTCTCTTTCTCAGAGTATCAGGATGCTCTGATTAGTTATCCCTATAATCTGTATAGAATGCCAGTATCTAGTGATACCTTGTTGTTTTTCATCTAGGGGATCCTTTGGCTCTTTCTATCTTTATTTGAAGCCAGCACATCCCCCACAGACGTCTCTCTCCCACTATGCCCTGACCCTGGATCTATGTGTGGAATTCTCTCTTCATTTATCTGTGTGGGCCTCGTCCTCTCCCATATCCTTTTATTTTTTCACAATCCTGATCCTGGTATGTTGCTTCCTACATTACATCAGTATAACCCTCGACTGGCACATAATTGAGCAGATCTCTTTAAGGAATATAGCTCACCCAAAAATGAAAATTCATCACGCCATTCCAAACTTGTATGTTTTTTTATTTTCTTCCATGAAACACAACAGGAGATGTAAATGAAAGGGACTGAATGGATGGATGAATTCCTGGTTTGGAAGTGAAAGTGGACCAGCAGATCATACTTGGAAGTAAGCTAGGCCTACTGTATAGAATCCCGGGACAGACAATGGCAAATTTAATTGTCAAAGTTATCAGATTAAATGTCACAACCTTTGAGAAGTTGAATGTGTCAGCACAAATCTCTATAACATCAAATAACTGTGTTACTTATTATTTTTGGACACTGCTAATTGTTGATGTTTAGATATGTGTTTACTCTTGGTAGCAAATACTCTATTGCCAAATTAAAAATGATGTTTTGTGATGTCATAACCAGCACTGCCCTCACCACTTTTTTAGAACAAAAGATCTAATAATAAATGACTGAATGAAGATAATGCAAGAGAAATGCACTGTGTGAAAGGACACTTTCAGGTGACTCATGTGACACTCGTTTCCTGCACTTTCACGAGATCACACTTACATATAAAAACTGAGTAAAGGTTATGCGTATTTGGCGTGCTGTCCGGGGAGAGGGCTCCGAGCTCGGTAATTACTCTCCAGCCCGGGGTACTCCCTCTGTCCGGGGAGAGGGCTCCGAGCTCGGCTTTTAGCCCGGACCCAGAGCGCTCCTCCCCGTGGTGGGGTAGGAACGGGCTGAAGGTGAGGACTCGGGGTGGTGGAGGGATGCTGAAAGACTAGATAATGAAGGAAAGGCTGCTTTGATTATTTATAAGGGTTCTCTCTTGTGCTGGTTGGATAGATGGTGTAATTACTGATGATGGATTGGCCGTGTTAATTATCTGCGCGTGCTCTTCCCGAAATTTGTTAATAAAACATCACTTATCGCGTTGTGCGTCGGTTTTATTTGTCGATGAGCTGGAATATGTGTTGTTTAGTGACATTATTGTCACTGAGCTGTCATCTGCAGAAGCTGTTTAAAACGGTCTGAACGTGTTGTTTGAACCAGAGCCGTAGAGAGAGAGTGATGCAAGTTGCGACAACTCCGTTCACTCCAATGGACCTTTTTTTTTTTTTTCAGTGCACCGTGAAGCCGCTCAATAGTTCCTGGAAGTTAGCGCTAATACTATCCGCGCCGTAGAGATGCGGCAGAAGAGACCGCTGTGACGAACTTTTAAAAGGTAAGGCATTTATAAAATACAATTGTATATTATCAGCACAACTTATCAAATTACCTTGTGCATTAAGTCAAATTATTATAAGATTATTCCTCACTTAATTAGTAGATTTACAGGATGCTATTCATTCCCTTCATGCAGTTTCATCCATCGTTGTGTAAGGCTTTTAAACGTGATTTTTGCTGGTGGGGAGTTATTTAATAGACTTGGATTTATTGCAAAGGATGCTGATGGATCTAATTGAGAATGAAAAGTTTTTAAAATAGGTGAGCAGTTGTCATTTCAGAATCATGCTAGGCTAAATTTCCAAAAATGTATTATATCCCATTACTATATAATAGAAGTAATCACAGTAAACCTGTACAAGATGCAGCAGAAGAGACCGCTGTGACGAACTTTTAAAAGGTAAGGCATTTATAAAATACAATTGTATATTATCAGCACAGCTTATCAAATTACCTTGTGCATTAAAACAATTTATTATAAGATTATTCCTCACTTAATTAGTAGATTTACAGGATGCTATTCATTCCCTTCATGCAGTTTCATCCATCGTTGTGTAAGGCTTTTAAACGTGATTTTTGCTGGTGGGGAGTTATTTAATAGACTTGGATTTATTGCAAAGGATGCTGATGGACCTAAATGAGAATGAAAAGTTTTTAAAATAGGTGAGCAGTTGTCATTTCAGAATCATGCTAGGCTAAATTTCCAAAAATGTATTATATCCCATTACTATATAATAGAAGTAATCACAGTAAACCTGTACATTATTACTGTATTTTATACTTAAACGTCTTGGCTACTATAGAAGTACTGTGTTGGAGGAGCAGATGCCACAGGACTGAAATGTGATTGAGCATCACTTAACCATTTCTCCTGTTTTTCTCCTTCTCTACCTTGCTTTCAGAACAAGAACCACCTGAAGACTCCCTGTAATGAGACATCACCCTCACAATGAGTCTCTTCACTGGGCTTTGCAAGTCTTTCCCTGCTCTTTGTGTCTTTGTGAAAAGTGCCAGTTCCCTAGTATGATTACATCACATTTTGTTGGTGTAATCTATAGATTGCTCCTGCTGACTATATCCAGCCTCTTATGAAGACTTCAGATGACTCGTACACCTGTTAAGAGAACTCTTATTTGTAATGTAGAAACATTCATTTTCTGTAAAGCTGCTTTGAAACAATGTGTATAATAAAAAGTGCTATACAAATAAGTGAATTGAACAAAACTTGATGCATATTTTTTTTTTCTCCTCTCCAGATCAGTAGGGAAACCATACATTCACACTCCTTTCTGTGAGTGACTGGAGCATTCATAATGCAGCACAGCAAACTATGGTGGAGACTATACAAGTACAACATGCTTTTCAGTTTATTACACATGTATAAATCGATTGCTGTAAATAAGTGCATAACAAAAGCCAACATGCATTATAACCAATAGATAAATATTTATTTAATTTGCATGGTCTGTGTCATGTGATTTCAATTTCCATAAAAACACCTTTTTTGCTGATGATACAGCAGCATCTGAAATCTTTTTCTCTCATTTCACTTTTCTCCATCAGGAAGCTTTTGGTGAGGCTCTTTCTCTGTCACTGATGAGGAGGATGTGAAGCTCTGAGTCTATATCTGGAGCTCTGGATGGTCATGAGGTTAAAGATGAAGGAAGAAGAGTTTGGCTTCTGCAGACCTACAAATTCATGCATGGATGGATTGATTACTGATCATTAGTTAAATGATCATTAAAATAAAAATTACTGTTAACATCTATAATCTATGAACTACTGACTGATAAAACAACTAAACATTTATATTGTGTATAATGGAATCTTTTTTTACTAATTAACATTCAGTACATTGCACATGCATGAGATCAGATCAGTGTATCAGCTCCCACTTGTGGACAATAAGTGTATCTGCATTAATACATTTAAACCGGCAGCTGGAGGAACACATCTCTTATTCTGTAGGGGAAACGTATAAAAAATAAGACACAGTAATACAATAAAGACAGACATTGTCTACATATTGTCTACATATGAAATTAAAGCTATATAGTGTGAAACATATAATGCAAAGCATATTATACTTAAATACTGCTGTATCAGTAATCATTTTGGTTCAATCCACTGTTCTTCTCAGTTTAGTTCTGATGACAGAATTAAATTACTGTTTTACATGTCACAAAATTATAAGAACACTGAATAGAAAACTCTCTTTCAGTTTGACTGTTGACAAAACAAAACAAATGTTTGTTGGTTCTCTGGAATATTTACATTATTTTGATCTTGAAAGGTTATGGTCAGGTTTTAGTTCATCATAAACAATTAATAAAGTAAAACAAGAACAATAACAGGTCAGTAGTTAACAGCAGATTATTGCCTAGAGCAAGACTACAACAACACAGAATAACACAAGATTCCTATTTCACAATATGAATATTAGAAGGCTATTTATTCGTTATTTTAATGGTCTAACAGAGAGTTCAGCAAGAGAGCAGCATGTAAACAAAGACTGATAAACTTTCATAGAAGCTTCATAAACCTTCCTATGCAAGTAGCTATTTTAAACATTAGATTTTAAGTTAAGCAGTAGATTTTCAGTTAAAGACACCCTCGAAATAATGACTTACAAATTGTAAAGGACTGAGAATACTGCAAGAGAAGTGAAGCGTATGATAAAGGTACTTACAGAGTGACGCTCTTTATCGCATTACGCGTCGGTTTTATTTGTCGAAGAGCTGAAATATGTGTTGTTTAGTGACATTAAGATATTGTCACTGAGCTGTCATCTGCATAAGATGTGTTTAAAACGGTCTGCACGTGTTGTTTGAACAAGCGTCATGTTGTCAAACTGTCAAACTGACCGTAAAGCCGCTTACGCCGCCTAGTGGCGCGGACGGAAAATTACATTTCAGTTTCTAGTTTTAGTCGCAGATAAAAGCTCTGTCTGTGATTTAAACTTTATTTATTTTAGAACAAAGTCGTGATTTTATTAGTGTCTCGACCAGCAGATTAACATGGATCTACTAGTTTAGATAACCCAGATCAAGCTGTCAACTGATGGGGTAAAACAGATGAAGTGTGGTATTGAACTGGAAAGCACATGGTCAAAGTGTAAACACACATTAAATATAGAACAAACGATTCTCCGAGACTTTATTAGTTTGGTGAAGTAGATGTATTTGTTCTGATTGATTTAAATGAATGTGTATCATGTCTGTTCACAGTTAAACAATGATTTCAATGTGTTGTTTGTCAGTCTTGTTTACAAACTCGAGCAGCATTTATAATAAATCTTGATTGTAATACAGATTTTAACAAATTATTTTAAAGCCAGTATTAAAATGACTGTTGACATATATAATCTGTAAGATAATGACTGATTTAATGTATATAATGGTGTCTAATTGCGTATTTTATTAAAATATTTATAGCTGCAGGATCAGATATTCACCAGCTCCCCCTTGAGGAGTATCTGGACAGTGAGTTTTATGGTTTCAGTTTGACCAGGTAAAACAATAGGGAATAAGTTATTTGTCTTGCATATAATACATTGTCTTACAAGACAAATAAATTATTAGTCTTACATTCAATAGGGCATATAGGTTTGTTTTTACTCACTGAATACAGCATGTATGGAATAATGCGCTTAGTGCTGAATCGAAGCAATGCAACATTTGGTAATTAACCTCTTGGGGTTTTTTTCCTTTCATTTATTTTAGATGACTTCTGTTGGAATGGATCTACAATGATGACTGTAGCGCTCAACTCCAGTCCTGGGACCCACAGTGCTGCACATTTTGTTTGTCTCTCTCTAATCCGATAGACTCAGATCAGTTCATGTAGCTTTCTGAAAATGCGTTGGCAATTTGAATCATTAAACATATTAAACAAGGGAGACAAACCGTGTAAAATGTGCAGTGCTGGACCA